AGCATTTGGGGAGGCAATGGTGGGTGGATCACAAGGTCATGAGTTAGAGACCGGCCTGGTCAATATGCTGAAAACACATCTCCACTAAATGTTAAAAAATTAGCCATGGCCGGGCGCAGTGGCTCATGCCTATAATCCCAGCACTTTGGGAGGCCGAGGCGGGTGGATCACGAGGTCAAGAGATCGAGACCATCCTGGTCAACAAGGTGAAACCTCGTCTCTACTAAAACTATAAAAATTAGCTGGGCATGGTGGTGCACGCCTGTAGTTCCAGCTACTCGGGAGGCTGAGGCAAGAGAATTGCTTGAACCCAGAAGGCGGAGGTTGCGGTGAGCCGAGATCACACCATTGCACTTCAGTCTGGGTAACATCAGTGAAACTCCGTCTCAAAAAAAAATTAGCCGTACATGGTGGCGAGTGCCTGTTGTCCTGGTTACTCAGAAGGCTGAGGCAAGAGAAGTGGAGGTTGCAGTGAGCCAGGATTGTACCACTGCACTCCAGCCTGGGTGACAGAGTGAGACTCCATCTCAAAATAAATAACACCAAAGTATGCAGGCAACAAAGAGCATGATGAATGCAATGGTACCTCACATTTCAATACTAACATTGAATGTAGATGGCCTAAATGCTTCACTTAAAAGACACAGAACTGCAGAATGGATAAGAACTCACCAACCATCTGCTATCTTCAAAAGACTCACCTAACACAAAGGGACTAACATAAACTTAAAGGGGTAGAAAAGGTATTTCATGCAAATGGACACCAAAAGCAAGCAGGAGTAGCTACTCTTATATTAGACAAAACAAACTTTAGAGTAACAGTGGTTAAAAGAGACAAAGAGAGACATTATATAATGGTAAAAGGCCTCATCCAACAGGAAAACATCACAATCCTAAACATATACACACCTAACATTGGAGCTCTCAAATTTATGAAATCATTACTAATAGTCCTAAGAAATGAGATAGCTGGTAACACCATAATAGTGGGGAACTTCAATACTCCACTGACAGCACTAGACAGGTCATCAATAAAGAAAGTCAACAAAGAAACAACAGATTTAAACAACACCATGGAACAAATGGACGCAACAGGTATATACAACACATTTTGTCCAACAACTGCAGAACATACATTCTATGCAACAGCAAATAAAACTTCCTCCAAGATCGATCATATAATAAGCCATAAAATGAACCTCAATAAATTTAAGAAAATTGAAATGATATCAAGCACTATCTCAGACCACAGTGAAATAAAACTGAAGTCAACTCCCAAAGGAACCTTCAAAACCATGCAAATACATGGAAATTGAATAACCCGCTCCTCAATGACATTGGGTCAAAAAACAAAATCAACATGAAAATTTATAAATTCTTCAAATTGAATTACAATAATGGCACAACCTATCAAAACCTCTGGAATACAGCTAAGGTAGTGCTAAAAGTTCATAGCTCTAAATGCCTACATCAAAGAGTGTGAAAGAGAACAAACAGAAAATCTAAGGTCAAACCTCAAGGAACTAAAGAAAAAGAACAAACCAAACCCAAACCTAGCAGAAAAACAGGAAATAATTAAGGTCAGAGCAGAAGTAAATCAAATGAAACAAAAAATAACTAAATAAATCAAAAAGCTGCTTCTCTGAAAATATAAATAAAATTGATTGACAATTAGCAAGATTAACCAAGAGAAGATAGAAAATCCATATAACATCACTGAGTAATGAAGCAGGAGATACTACAACTGAAACAACTGAAATGCAAAAAATCACTCAAGGCCACCATAAACACCTTTACACACATAAACTAGAAAACCTCATAGAGATGGATAAATTCCTGGAAAAATACAACCCTTCTAGCTTAAATTGGGAAGAATTAGATAGCATGGACTGAACAATAACAAAGAATGAGATTAAAATGGTGATTCAAAAATTATCAACAAAAAAGTCCAGAACCAGAAAGATTCACAGAATTTTACCAGACATTCAAAGAATTGATACCAATGTTTTTGACACTATTCCACAACAAAGATAAAGAGTGAACCGTCCCTTGTGTCTAGAAAAGACACAAGCAAAACAAACGAAACAACAATTACAGACCAATATCCTTGATAAACACTGATGCTAAAATCCTTGACAAAATACTAGCTAACCAAATCCAACATGTCAAATAGATAATCCACCATGATCAAGTGAGTTCATACCAGGGATCCAGGAATACAGAGATGGTTTAACACACGTAAGTTAACAAATGTGATACACCACATAAACAGAATTGAAAACAAAAATCACACAATCATCTCAATAGATGTAGAAAAAAGCATTTAACACAATCCAGCATTGTTTTATGATTAAAACCTCAACAAAGTTGACATACAAGGGACACAGCTTAATGTAATAAAGGCTATCTATAACAAACCCACAGACAACATAATACTATGAGGAAAAAGTTTGAAAGTATTCTCTCTGAGAATGGGAACAAGACAAGGATGAGCACTCTCACCACTCCTCTTTAACATAGTTAGTCCTGGAATTCCTAGCCAGAACAATCAGATAAGAAAAAGAAATAAAGGGCATACAAATCAGTAAACAGAAAGTCAAACTGTCCCTGTTTGCTGATGATATAATCATTTACCTTGTAAAACCTAAAGACTCCTCCAGAAAGCTCCTAGAACTGATAAAAGAATTCAGCAAAGTTTTTGGATACAAGATTAATGTACACAAATCAGTAGCTCTTCTATTCACCAATAGCAACCAGAGAATTAAATCAAGAAGGCAAACCCTTTTACAATAGCTGAAAAAAAAAAATACAATGCTTAGGAATATACCTAATAAAGGAGTCAAAAGACCTCTACAAAGAAAACTACAAAACACTGCTGAAATAAATCACAGACAACACAAACAAATGGAAACACATCTCATGCTCCAGGATGGATAGAATCAATATTGTGAAAATGACCACACTGCCAAAAGTCATCCACAAATTAAACACAATTCCCATCAAAATACCACCATCATTCTTCACAGAGTTAGAAAAAACAATTCTAAAATTCATATGGAACCAAAAGAGAGGCTGCATAGCCAAAGCAAGACTAAGCAAAAAGAACAAATCTGGAGGCACCACACTACCTGATTTCAAACTATACTGTAAGGCCACATTCACCAAAACAGCATGGTACTGGTTTAAAAATGGGCACATATTACTATGGAACAGAGAACCCAGAAATAAACTCAAATATAGCCAACCAGTCTTCAACTAAAAAAAACAAAAACATAAAGTGGGGAAAGGACACCCTTTTCAGTAAGTGGTGCTGGGATAATTGGCTAGCAACATGTAGGAGAATGAAACCGAATTCTCATCTCTCACTTTATAAAAAAATAAACTCAGGATAGATTAAGGACTTAATTCTAAGACATGAAACTGTAAAAACTCTGGAAGATAACACTGGAAAAACTAAGCATTGGCAAGGCAAAAATTTCATTACCAAAAACACAAAAGCAAATGCAGTAAAAACAAAGATAAATAGCTGGGACCTAATTAAACTAAAAAGCTTTTACATGGCAAAAGGAACAGTCAGTAGAGTAAATAGACAACTTAGAGTGGGAGAAATTCTTCACAATCTATACTTCTGACAAAGGACTAATATCCAGAACCTACAACAAACTCAAATCAGTAAAAAGAAAAAAAGATTTCATCAAAAAGTGAGCTAAGGACATGAATACACAATTCTCAAAAGAGGATATACAAATAGCCAACAAACAAAAAAATTCTCAACATCACTAATGATCAGAGAAATGTAAATTCAAATCACAATGCAATACCACCTTATTCCTGCAAGAATGCAGGAATGCATAATGAAAAGATCAAAATATTGTAGATGTTGGCATGGATTTGGCCATCAGGGGACACTGGCTGGTGGGAATGTAAACTAGTACAGCCACTATGGAAAACTGTGTAGAGATTTCTTAAAGAACTAAAAGTACAACTACCATTTGATCCAGCAATCCCACTACTGAGTATCTAGCCAGAGAAAACGAAGTCATTATCTGAAAGAAATACTTGCACATACATGTTTCCCTCTCTCCCTCCCTCCTTCCCATCCTCCCTTTTTTTTGAGACAAAGGTTTGCTCGTTTCCCAAGCTGGAGTGCAATGGCACAGTCTCATCTCACTGCAATTCCACCTCCCATGTTCAAACAATTCTCCTGCCTCATCTTCTCGAGTAGCTAGGATTACAGATTCTACAAATGCTATAGGTGCATACCATCACACCAGGCTAATTTTTTGTTTATTTAGTAAAAACAGCATTTCACCAGGCCAGCCAAGCTCATCTCAAACGCCTGACCTAATGTGATCCACCTGCATCAGCTTCCCAAAGTGCCGGGATTACAGGCATGAGCCACCACGCCCTGCACACATGCATGTTTCTAGAAGCACGGTTTACAATTGCAAAATAATGAAACCAATCAAAATGCCCATCAATCAACAAGTGGATAAAGGAACTGTGGTACATATATACGTTGGAATACTAAGCCATAAAAAGGAATGAATTAACAGCATTTGCAATGTCGTGGATGAGACTAGAGACTATTATTCTAAGTGAAGTAACTCAGGAATGGAAAAGCAAACATCGTTTGAGCGCACAAAGGCAGAATAATAATACAACGAACTTCAGGGACATGGGGAAGAGTGGAAGAGGGGAGGAATAAAAGACAACGTATATGGTGCAGTGTATATTGCTTGGGTGATGGGTGTACCAGGTTCTCACAAATCACCACTAAAAACCTTACACAACAAACCAAATACCACCCATACCCCAATAACTTATAGAATAAAATTTTGAAAACATGTTTTCTCACACAAACACAATTACTCCATTATTTATTTACAACTAAGGTTTATCTGTAGACTAAGAGATGTGTATATTTAACTCGATGTCAATCAATACTAAGAGTCCATATGTGCTTGCAGGCAGAGGTCACATGTTCAAAGAAAAATATATTAAAATGTATAAAAATATTCAGAACTCAGAAATGTATGGATTTTACTTGTATTTGTATATAATTCTTAGTATATAATTTTCATTACGGCCATATAAATGACCCTGGAGTCAATAACAATTTAATTGTACATTTAAAAACAAGTAAAACTGTAGAATTAAATTGCTTGTAATACAAAGAATAAATGCTAGCGGTAATGGATACTTCGTTTCCTCTAAAGTGATTATTATATATTGTATGCTTGTATCAAAAATATGCCATATATGGCATAAATATATACACATATTATGTATCCACAAAAATTAAGAATAAATTTAAATGTGAAAATAGGAATAAAATTTTAACCTATAGGGATAATATTTTTTAACTTACTGGCAATTTAAAGCTACTGGCAAAAAAGATCACTAGAGATGTTAGTCCATTACCTTACCAAATAGTGTATTCTTACCATCTTTTACCTACACCCTTGAGTAACGTGGAATAGGTTAAGGTTAGTGGCATAAGAACAATTTATTGAATTCAAAATCATATTTAACATGTTAAAAATGTTGAATTGATAAATTCGCATATAACTTATAATTTTAAAATATGCTGCATATTATTCCATAAAAGCACAATTAATAAAACAACATACTACTAAATTTTAAAATTAAGAATATTTCTCTTTCATAATAATGCAGAAGAATATTACTTTGAACACCTACCTCCTGCATCACTCAATATTATAAGTTAACTACAAAGAGCCTCCCTACTTAAATTTTCATCATGCATCTTACATTTTAATGTCCTTACCTTTCCACAAAAAAGATCATAAATAATGCCGAATAAAAAAGAATCTCTCATATCTTTTATGCAGCAACAATTAGTCACATGCTTTCACATGTGAATACACCAGGAATGATGAAACAGCATGAAGTAATTTCAGAGTTTAACACCATTATTATTCACTTTTTAAAAAAATCTGTATTTTCAAAAAAAGTATACTTTGAATGTAATTATAATGCTCCAAAAAATATTCTAATTCTTTTAAAGTTATATACAAATAATGCTTACACAAACTTGAGTTTGCATTTTCTATACTCAGCACTCTGATTTCATGTAATGTCTAATTTTAGAGTGCCCTAGATATTTCTGTGAATTATTCCCTGATATTTAATTTTGAATTGAATATCTTTTATATTTACTGCAAGTGAAAATACATTTGATTTTCTTTATGTTTAGAATAGTTTGAGGTATTGTAAAAAGCATTAGCACATCTTTCAGGTTTGTAGAGTTTCTATCCAGCATGAATGTTATGCTTATTAAGAATTTAAGACTTTTTGGACAGGCGCGGTGGCGCACAACTATAATCCCAGCACTTTGGGAGGCCGAGGCGGGTGGATCACGAGGTCAAGAGATCAAGACCATCCTGGTCAACAAGGTGAAACCCTATCTTTACTAAAAATACAAAAATTAGCTGGGCATGGTGGTACATGCCTGTAGTCCCAGCTACTCGGGAGGCTGAGACAGGAGAATTGCTTGAACCCAGAAGGCAGAGGTTGCGGTGAGTTGAGATTGTGCCATTGCACTTCAGTCTGGGTAACAACAGCAAAACTCCGTCTCAAAAAAAAAACAAAAAAAAAAGAATTTAAGACTTTTTATATGCTTTGCCACATTATTTACACTTGTAAGACTTCTCTCCAATATGAATTGTCTTAGCTGTAGTAAGGTGCAAGGACTGGTTAAAGGCTTTGCCAAATTTTTCCCATTTGTAGGTTTGCTCTCCTGTATGAATTCTCTTATGTTTAGTTAGAGTTGAGGACCAGAAAAAGGCCTTGTCGCATTCTTCACATTTGTAGGGTTTTACTCCAGTATGAATTACCTTATGTTTAGTAAAGGTTGAAGACCGGTTAAAAGATTTGCCACATTCTTCACATTTGTAGGGCTTCTCTCCAGTATGAATTCTCTTATGGTTAGCAAGGATTGAAGACTGGTTAAAGGCTTTGCCACATTTTTTACATTTGTAGGGTTTCTCTTCAGTATGAATTATCTTATGTTTAGTAAGAGTTGAGGACCAGTTAAAAGCTTTTCCACATTCCTCACATTTGTAAGGTTTCTCTCCAGTATGAATTATCTTATGTGTAGTAAGAGTTGAGGATTGGCTAAAAGCTTTGCCACATTCTTCACATCTGTACGGTTTCTCTCCAGTGTGCATCCTCTTATGTCTAGTTAGGGTTGAGGACCATAGAAATGCTTTGCCACATTCTTCGCATTTGTAGGGTTTCTCTCTACTATGAATTCTTTTATGTTTAGTAAGAGTTGAGGACCAGATAAATGCTTTGCCACATTCTTCACACGTGTAAGGTCTCTCTCCAGTATGGATTATCTTATGTGTAGTAAGATTTGAGGATCTATTAAAAGCTTTGCCACATTCTTCACATTTGTAGAGTTTCTCTCCAGCATGAATAATTTTATGTGTAGTAAGGGTTGAGAGTTGCTTAAAAGCTTTGCCACATTCTTCACATTTGTAGGGTTTCTCACCGGTATGAATTATCTTATGTGTATTAAGGGTTGAGGACTGGCTAAAAGCTTTGCCACACGCTTCACATTTGAAGGGTTTCTCTCCAGTGTGAATCCTCTTGTGTCTAGATAGGGTTGAGGACCATATAAATGCTTTGTCACATTCTTCACATTTGTAGAGTTTCTCTCTAGTATGAATTTTCTTGTGTTTAGTAAGGGTTGAGAACCAGATAAATGCTTTGCCACATTCTTCACACTTATAAAGTTTCTCTCCACTATGAGTTATCCTATGAGTAGTAGGATTTGAGGACCGGTTAAAAGCTTTGCCATATTCTTCACATTTGTAGAGTTTCTCTCTGGCATGAATTATTTTATGTGTAGAAAGGGTTGAGGGTTGCTTAAAAGCTTTGCCAACGTCTTCACATTTGTAGGGTTTCTCTTCAGTTTGAATTTTTTTATGATTAGTAAGGGTTGAGGACCAATTAAAGATTTTTCCACATTCTTTACATTTGTAGGACTTCTTTCGTGTATAAATGCTTTTATGCTGGGTTTTGTGTGAAATCATGCAAAATGATTTGACACATTTTTTACATTTGAAAGATTTCTTTCCAGTATGTCTTACCTTATGTCTGTTTGAATTTAAAAATTTATTAAAAACTTTCGGATATTGATCACATTGAAACACTTTGCTCTGGGTAGTTGTGAAACACTGATTAAGTCCATTATAACCTTCTTTGTGCACCTTACACTCATCCACACATTTACAGCCTTTTTTAAACTGTAAGTTCTTAGGTCCACATTTTTCATATCTTCTCAGTATTACTTTTTGAAAAGAATCTTCCATGCCCTGCTCTGGCCAAAGGTCTTGAGCAAAATGAGGACATATAACTGAAAAGAAAATAAATAAAAATAATAAATTACTCCATTTGCTAGAGTCACATGGATGTAGTTTAAAAATCTTACCTATAACATTATATAAACTACATAATAAAAACGGCATTGCAAAATACCCCAGGCCCTAATTCTTTCATAGACATATAAGTGTAACAAAAACATACAGACCCAAAAACATCTATGGAAAAGTTATAAATGAATTACTTGTATGCAGTGTCCCAGGTGAGCACAATGCAAAAAACCACATAAAAGAAAAATAAAAGTCTGTTAAATTTATCCAACACAGCTTTTCTGCTTCCCACTATAACATAGTGCCTTTAGAAGTAAATTGCCAGCTCTTGGTTTCTGTTTTAAAATAAAATACTGGCACGTTCATTGTTATTTCTGGCTTTTAGGGGCTTTTTCTGACACTGGTTTCTATCTCTCATGACATAAAGTGCTGAAAAAAATGGTGGTATATTTTGAAATGAGAGTTTGAGTCTACTGAGACCAAAGAAAAATCTTACAGCAGCAGAGAGACTGCAGAGCTACAGATAGGGAACCAGAATGGCAAGTGATTACTGACTCCTACAGAATAACATTAGTAAACTCTCTTAAATAAAAAAACACAGCTTTTTCTCTGAGAAAAAAAAAATGGAGGACGCCAGTGCGGCAGGGGGCCCTGGGATGGGGAACAGCAGTGGTTTCTGAGGATGTTTTGGCAGCAGCATCAGACCCAGTGTCTCAGCCTTGGACAGGTCTGGGGCCCGGTCCGCAGTTGGGCCACAGAGCTTGTGGAGGCAAGGCCAAAGATAAGGCGTGGATGCCCGTCACGAATCTGGGCAGCCTGGTTAGGAACATGAAGATCAAGTCCCTGAAGATCTATCTAGTCTCCATGCCCAACAAGGAATCTGAGATCACTGACTTTTTCCTGGGGGCCTCTCTCAAGAATGAGGTTTTGAAGACTATGCAGTGCATAAGCAGACCCGTGTCAGCCAGCACACCAGGCTTAAAGTGTTTGTTTCATCAGGGACTAGAACAGCCACGTTGGTCTGGGTATTTAGTGGTCCAATAAGGTGGCCACTGCCATCTGCGGGGCTATTGTCCTGGCCAAGCTCTCCATCGTCGCTGTGTGCAGAGGCTACTGGGAAACAAGATCGGTAAGCTCCACATTATTTCTCACAAGGTTATAGGCTGCTGTGGCTCTGTGCTGGTGAGCCTCATCCCCGCGCCCAGGGGCACTGGCATTGTCTCACCGCCTGTACCCAAGAAGCTGCTCATGATGGCTGGTATTGATGACTGCTACACCTCATCCAGGGGCTGCACTGCCACCCTGGGCAACTTCACCAAGGCCACCTTTGATGCCATCTCTAAGAGCTACAGCTACCTGACACCCGATCTCCAGAAGGAGACTGTATTCACCAAGTCCCCTATCAGAAATTCACTGACCACCTTGTCAAGGCCTACACCAGATTATCTGTGCAGAGGACCCAGGCTCCAGCAGCTACAACATAGGGTTTCATACAAAAAAAATAAATGAATTAAGCCTGTAAAAAGAAATAAATAAATAAAAATAAACACTAAATTTTAGACAACACATATCCTAAGTACATGTTTGAGAAACTCCCATAATCACCAGTCAAGATGACTGTTTTCAGATTGTGCCAGAAAAAAAGCTACATTTTAAAGATTTTGACAAGTAACCTTTTTTAATGTCCAAATCTAAATCAAAGATCATAATATATACAAAATAGGGCAATATAATCCCACCAAAAATATAAAATTTTCTGAAAAAAACATTCAAAAGTATACATCAGTTTAAAGAATTGCTAATAAATTGAAAAATACTGATTAAAATACAGAGACAACTATGGAAAATCAGAAAAATGAGGATGAAAATAAAATTATTGAAGATTTCAAAAAATTAGAAATTCTGGAGGAAAAAATAAAAAAAAAATTAATAGATCCTAAAAGAAAAAAAAAGTAAAAATAAAGAAGCTTAACAAACTAGGAACACAAAAAGATATTTATAACAAACACATATATAAGCACAATTTCAAAAGCCACAGACAAAATGATTATCTTTGGAGCTGAAGATAAAAGTGATATGCCAAATCAGGCATGGTGGCTCACTCCTGGAGTCCAGGCACTTTGGAAGGCCAAGGTAGGCAGGTTACCTGACGTCAGGAGTTTGAGACCAGCCTGACCAACATGGTGAAACCTAGTCTCTGTTAAAACTACAAAGCTCAGGTGGGTATGCTGGCATGTGCCTGCAATCCCAGCTACTCAGGAGGCTGAGGCTGAAGAACCACTTGAACCCAGGAGGTGGAGGATGCAGTGAGCTAAGGTCACACCACTATATTCCAGTTTGGGTAAGGAATAGAGTGAGACTCTGTCTCCAAAAAAAAAAGAAGAAGAAGAAAAGTGATCTTCCATTTACAAATATAGTCTTATGAGATAATCAATGAACTGTTAACAAAAATTTTGCAGGCAATAAGAAAACTATGTGATACAGTCATGAAAAAAACTGTGAAAAAAATAGCTTTAAGTGGGAAAAATATCGTCAGTGAATCTGTCCTGCAAAATAAAATAATAAGCTTTCAAAGTAACCAAATTCCATAAAATTATATTGTAACTACATAGCCCCTACATATAAAACATGCTGAAAACAGTTCCTTCTACCGAAAATAACATTAAATAATTTTTTAATGATTAAAAAAAAGAAACATTATCATATAAAAATACATTATTTTCTGTGAAAACTATGCAAATACTCAATAGTAGAATTTCATAGCATTATTTCAGTCAGTAGAAAATGTTCACAATAGCAAAGACTTGGAACCAACCCAAATGCCCATCAATGATAGACTGAATAAAGAAAATGTGGCACATATACACCATGGAATACTATGTGCAGCCATAAAAAAGGATGCTTTCAGTGGGAATAATATGCTGAAAACAGTTCCTTCTACTGAAATAAATTATTTCAGTAGTATAGAAAACGTTCTGGAAGCCATCATTCTCAGCAAACTGTCACAAGAACAGAAAACCAAACACTGCATGTTCTCACTTACAAGTGGATGCTGAACAATAAGAACACATGGACATAGGGAGGAAAACATCACATACCAGGGCCTGCCAGAGGGTTGGAGGTTAGGGGACGGATAGCAACAAGTGGAGGAATGGGTAGAGATAGCATTAGGAGAAGTACCTAATGTAGATGACAGGGTGATGAAAGTGGCAAACCACCAAAGCATGTGTATACCTATGTAACAAACCTTCAGGTTCTGCACATGTACCCCAGAAATTAAAATATAATAAATTTTAAAAAAGAAAACATTTATTCACAGCCCCTTGGAAATGTAGGAAAAATAAAATTTTTAAAAAAGAGAAAAAAGAAAATAAAACATTTATAATTATTCTCTGAAATTTGAAGAATAAAAGCATAGAAATCAATATAAACCCTTGTTAGTGAATATACAACACAAAAAGATATAATTAACAACATCGAAGACAAATTTGAGGGAAGATGTAATCATAAATAATTTTTATATGAACTTGTTTATTTTTTTACCAGATTAAAATATATTGTTATATCTTTTACAGGTTATATATAATCCCCAGGGTACCACAAAAATATTGGTATAAATACACAAAGAAAATAAGTAAAAGCATATCAATAAAAACATCAGAGACACAAAAAAATAACAAAGATATCTCTTTGTCAAATAAATAAAAATATTTAATAAAATAAGTCTTGGCCGGGCACAGTGGCTCAAGCCTGTAATCCCAGCACTTTGGGAGGCCGAGGCGGGTGGATCACAAGGTCAAGAGATCGAGACCATTCGGGTCAACATGGTGAAACCCCGTCTCTACTAAAAATACAAAAAATTAGCTGGGCATAGTGGCGTGTGCCAGTAATCCCAGCTACTCAGGAGGCTGAGGCGGGAGAATTGCTTGAACCCAGGAGGCAGAGGTTACGGTGAGCCGAGATCGTGCCATTGCACTCCAGCCTGGGTAACAAGAGCGAAACTCTGTCTCAAAAAAAAAAATTAATTAAAAAAAAAAATAAGTCTTTCTCTTTCAGAAAATTATTTAAATATATATAATTAACTTTTAAATTGAGACATACTTTCAATAAACAGATTTATTTAAAAAATTTAAAAGCCAAGATCCATCTTGCTTTTCTACAAGAGGCAGTTGAAATCTAATGATAAAAAAAGACTCAAGCGGCAGAATGGAATTAGACATTCCATGCAAATACTAATCAAATGAGAGCAGAAACAGTCAAAATAATATTACACAAGGTACATCTTAAGTCAAAAAGTATGATATTTTATAAAATGTTCTTGAAATTGAAACTCCAAAGAAACAAAGAAGGACATCAAGAAATAATAGATTCATTCACTGGGAGCCTAGGATGTGTGTGTATGTGTGTGTGTGTGTCATTAGAGTTCCAAATATATAAAGCAAATTTGATAGAATCAAAGAATGACAGACTGAATAAAGAAAATATAGTATATCTGAATTCTAGTACTTGAGTTTTAGTTGAAAAAAAAAAAGGATGAGTTCATGTCCTTTTCAGGGACATGAATAAAGCTGTAAACCATCATTCTCAGTAAACTGACACAAGAATAGAAAACCAAACACTGCATGTTCTCACTCATAAGTGAATGTTGAACAATGAGAACATATATGCCCTATGTGAATGAAAGAAACACATGGAAAGCAATATAATTATAGCAAGGTATTTTAATACCACACTTTCTACAATAAAAATAAAACAAGAAAGAATGTTAATAAGGGAACCGACTACTTAAAGGCAGTATAAAAATAGTATTCTAAACAGAATTATGGAGAACACTCCTCAACATCAGAATACACACCCTTCTCAATAGCTCATACATTTTCCTCTCTAGACCACATCTTAGGCCAAAAAGGAAGTCTTACCAAAATTTTAAAAATAAAATTTGATGAACTACTTTCTATGACCAAAATGGAATGAGAGTATATAAGATTAAAAAACTGAAAAATTTATAAATGTATACAAATTAAGCAACACACTCTTGAGTGTGCTCTCATACAAAGGTTGCAATAGTTCATATTGTGAAGAGGTCCATCCTGCTCCATGCAATCTACAGATTTAATGCAATGTTTTTCAAATTTCTCACTGAATTTTTGAAGAAACAGAAACAGCAACCCCAAAAATATAAAGAATCTGAAGAGACAATAAAGTACCCAACGGGGAAGGGGAAGGGGAAGGGGAAGGGGAAGGGGAAGGGGAAGGGGAAGGAAGGGGAAGGGGAAGGGGAAGGGGAAGGGGAAGGGGAAGGGGAAGGGGAAGGGGAAGGGGAAGGATGCCAGAGGCACTAAAGTTCTTGATTCAAAACACATTACAAAGCTACAGAATTAAAACAATTTGGTATAAGTATAAATGTGAAAAAGACTAATAAAATAGAATCCAGCATATATATAAACTTTTACGTATATGGTCATACAAGGAATCATTTACATAATTGTAATTACTGCAGCATTGTTACTGTAAGCCAATAGGTAAAAGCAATGCAAATTTCTTTTACCAAATCATTCAGTAGATACAATTTGAAATATAAAAATTCCGGAAAATCACTCAGTATTCAAAAAGCAGGAAATAGTCTACCAACTATAAAGATAAATCTTGTTGGCATTATGGAAAATGAAATAAGCCAGCCACAAAAAGACAGAGATGGTATGTGATACATGAAGCAGTTCACTCTTAGAAAAAAAGAAGAGTGGTCTGTGCAAAGTGCCATAAAAGAGAAAAAATTGGGGCCAGGCGTGGTGGCACACACCTGTAATCCTTGCTGTCTGAGAAGCTAAGATAGATGGATCACCTAAGGTCAGGAGTTTGAAATCAGCCTGGCCAACATGGTAAAAGCCCATCTCTACTAAAAATACAAAAATTAACCATTCATGGTGATGAGCACCTGTAATCCCAGCTACTCAGAAAGCTGAGGCACAAGAATTGCTTGAACCTGAGAGGTAAAGGTTGCAGTAAGTTGAGATCATGCCATTGTACTCCAGGCTGGGTGACAGAGCAAGACTCAATCTAAAAAAAACAAAAAGGTAGTTGTTTCATATTTATTAAGATTAAGTATTGCAAGATAAAAACATGTTAGCAATATGTTATAGGACAATGTCAAAATCATATGACTAAACTGAATATTTAAAAAATATTTTGTGGTAAATTTTGTTACTTTTTTACAAGTAACAATAAACAATAATACCTATAAAAGAGTCATGATAGTTTTAAATTTATTCAAATCCAAAAGTGTTTCGCCCACACAAAAATCATACAGATTCACAAATAAATGAGATGTTGAGATTACAATTGCTGGGCATGGTGGCTCACACCTCTAATTCCATCATTTTGGGAGGCTGAGGTAGGTGGATCACAAGGTCAGAAGTTCAAGACCAGCCTGGCCAACATAGTGAAACACCCTCTTCAAAAAAATACAAAAATTAGCCAGGCACAGTGGCATGCGCCTGTAAGCTACTGGGGAGGCTGAGGGAAGAGAATTGCTTGAACCTGGGAGGTGGAGGTTGCAGAGAGCTGAGATCACACCACTGCCTTCCAGCCTGGGTGACAGAGCAAGACTCTGTCTCAGGAAAAAAAAAAAAAAAAAAGGAAATTATAAGAATTTCATGACTACTCATCTATGCAGTATTAAAAAACCATTCACAACAAACCTGAATTGAAAAAAAATACAAGGAGGCAACAAACCGCATTGCCATGTATATACCTATGCAACAATCCTGCATGATCTGCATATGTACCCCCAGAACCTAAAATACAATTTAAAAATAAAAGAAAAAAAATACAAGGATAACATTTATTCGGGCAAACAAACATAGAGATAACTCCATTGGAAAAATATCTGGCTGATTCATATTTCATTTTGCTCCACGCTGTCTTAAATTGTACAAAGTTAAATACTGTCATGCATAATTATAATATCTACTAAGGAATAAAAATAAAATTGACAGATGTGGAGTAGCACACCCTAAAATATATAACACAAAACTATAAAATTGCAAAACAAAACTAACTATGAAATTGTAAAACTTATTAGATTCCATCAAGTAGATCAATATATTAAGAAAATCTTAGAAAAAGAATATAGGAAAAAATAATACGGAAGTTACTTGAAGATCAAAAAACAATGAAAATTTTCCAAATTTTGATATAATTTAAAAAATACTTTTAACGAATATTATTTGATCTTTATTTGTTTCACTTTAAAAAAAAGATGAAAATTAAAAAAATTTCCAAAATAAAAGGTGAGGGTGTTGTTCTCCACCACTAGCACAGTTCTACAAAAAGAAATGCTACATGGTAGCCAGACACCGTGACCCATGCCTGTAATTCTACACTTTCAGGAGGTTAAGCCTGCCAGAACACTAGAGACCAAGAGTTTAAGATCAGGCTGATTGAAACGAAGGAGAAAATACTAAGGGCAGCCAGAGAGAAAGGTCAGGTTACCCACAAAGGCAAGCCTATCAGACTTAAAGCAGATCTCTCAGCAGAAACTCTACAAGCCAGAAGAGAGTGGGGGCCAATATTCAACATCCTCAAAGAACAGAACCTTCAGCCCAGAATTTCATATCCAGCCAAACTAAGCTTCACAACTGAAGGAAAAATAAAATCTTTTATGAACAAGCAAGAACTCAGAGATTTTATTACCACCAGGCCTGCTTTATAAGAGCTTCTGAAAGAAGCATTACACACAGAAAGAAACAACCAGTATTAGCCTTTCTAAAAATACACCAAAAAGTAAAGAGCACCAACATAAAGAAGAATTTACATCAACGAATGGATAAAACAGCTGGTCAACATCAAATGGCAGTAACCCTAAATTTAAACTGACTAAATCCCCCAATCAAAAGACACAGCCAAAACCCAACAGGCATGTTACATCCAGACCTGTTTCACATGCAAGGATACACAAAGACTCAAAACAAAGGGATGGAGAAAGATTTACCAACCAAATGGAGAGCAAAAATAAATAATAAATAAATAAAAAGCAGGAGTTGCAATTCTCATATCGGATAAAATAGATTTTAAAGCAACAAAGATATAGTGGTAAAAGGATCAATGCAACAACAAGAGCTAACGATCCTAACACCCAGATACGAGACTTAGATTCAATGAGACAGAAAATTAATAAGGATATCAAGGACTCAAACTCAGATCCGGAACAAGTAAACTTAATAAATATTTATAGAGCTCTCCACTTCAAATACACAAAATATACATTCTTGTCAATACCACATCACACCTACCCATAAGTTTAAATGAAACATTGGCCATTATTAATACCCAATTTTTTTCAAAATAAAGCAATATTTCCATTTACTCTCCCTCTTTCTCTTCCTCTTTCTTCCTCTCCTTTACTTATTTTTTTTTCTTTCCTTCTCTCAAAAAAAAAAAAAAAAAGATCAGGCTGAGTAATACAATGAAACTCTTCAAATAAAAAAAGATGCTAAAATGAGTCAATTTTGTTTAAAAAAATAATACTGGACAGCATCATAAAACCATATATAAAATAAAGCTCTCTATTAAATGTAAATACACAAATATAAAACTCTTTACTATGATAATGTTGATGCATAAAACCCTTAAAGCTCTTCTGCAGAATATTTAAAACAACAAAAATCTGCATAAGTATGTCAACACAATATAAATTTAAACTGAAAAATATAGACATGTAATTTTTATAGTCAATTGAAATTGTCATGCGATTAAAATATATTGTTTTATTTTAAAATGTTACATGTAAACTCCATTGTTTTGTTTTTGTTTTCAGACAAAGTTTCACTCTTGTTGCCCAGGTTGAAGTGCAATGGCAGATGTCAGCTCACTGCAGCCTCCATCTCCTGGGGTCGAGCAATTCTCCTGCCTCCGCCTCCCATGTGGCTGGGATTACAGGCGTGCACCACCACACCTGCCTAATTTTATATTTTTAGTAGAGAGAGGGTTTCACCATATTAGTCAGGGTGGTCTTAAACTCCTGACCTCAGTTGATCCATCTGCCTTGGCCTTCCAAAGTGCTAGGATTACAAGTGTGGGTCACCGTGCCCAGCTGTAAACTTTACTTTTTAAGATAATATGGTTTGGCTGAGTCCCAACTCAAGTCTCATCTTTAATTCCCACATGTTCTGGGAGGGACATTGTGGAAGGTAATTGAATCATGGGGACAGGCCTTTTCTGTGCTGTTCTCATGACAGTGAATAAGTCTCATGAAATCTGATGGCTTTATAACAGAGTTTTTCTGCACAAGCTTTCTCTCTCTCATCTGACACAATGTAAGTCATGCCTTTCACCTTCCACCATGATTGTGAAGTCACCTCAGTCACAGGAAACTGTAAGTCCAATAAATCTCTTTCGTTTGTAAATTGCCCAGTCTCAGGTATGGATTTATCAGCAGTATGAAAACAGACTAATACAGAAGATGATTATAAAGATAATATTTATGGAAACTATGCAAAACAAAATTTAAAAAATAATTGAAGCAATCACTACACAATTAAAATTTAAGGAAATAAAACAGTACATAAAAAAAAAAACATACCACCCAAGAATACATAAAACAATAAACTAGTAACTAAGTTACTAGTTTTTTTTTAACATTTTAATTAGAGCAGAAATAAACTAAATATTTTATTTCTAAGCAAAAACAGAGCTCCATCATAAATCCTGTTTGAGAAAATTAACAATACATTTTAGAAATCCAATGGATACATTCAAAATGTTATCTAATAAATAACAAGGTCAGGTCTACCCCAAATCTAAGAATCTGATTTAAACATAAGGTGCCAAAAAACTACTAGGGCTGTTTTTCAGTGGTTATAAACAATACTTAATATTTACACCATACAGTCACACTGCTTTAAACTCAGTTGCAGAGATCTACAATTTATTATTACTTTCAGTGTTAGAGCTAGAGGGTAATTTTTTCAAAGATGGCACTCAACTCCACTTACTTACCTGTCAACAAATACAGAATTGAACCGTTAGCCATAAGCACTTTACAAAAAGACTCAGGAAACTATGCAGGAGACAATGACATAGCTTAACCAGACTCTGAAAGATACATTATTTCGATTCACACTTGTACAAAGAGAACAGTCATATCTGCATGACTTAAGGTTCTCTAAACACAACTGTTTTATGTTTTAGACCTCTAGAGTGTGCCAGTTTACCACATGGAGGAGGAATCAAGGGATGTGCTCTTTCTAAATAACCAAGGGCAAGTAGGGTAGGGTGGCTGCAGAGAATGCCCTGGGCAGAAGAGCTGCCTCAGGTTTTTGTGGCAATGAAAACTACTTGTTGCAATTAAGCAATACCTAGGGTTTATCTAGTTTGAAGTTCAAAACAAAGGAGAGAATTATTTCTTTCCTTAAGCTTTTCCCAAAGCAATATGCGCATCTCATAATCAAATCTTAAGTAGTACAAAGAGATAATCAATTATCTAAAAATTTAATATACATACATTTTGGCTTGGATTAAAAAGAAAAAAGTTTCCATAAAGAGGAGACTTCAGTGCTATATGACTCATATAACTAAAAACAAACCAGGAAGTTAGGGTTAGCATCGGTGGAGCACCAGAAGTTCCTGAAGGTACTTGGAAAGGATTATTGGAAGTAGGATAGAGTCCTGGTCAGATCCTGTAGGGGCAGGATATGGAGCTGGTGGTCGCCAGGCTCCTGGTGGACGTGTTCCATGGAAAGGTGGTGTTGCCCCAGGGGTCTGGGGAGGAGGAAGAGCCGGATATGGTCCTAGAGATGGATATGGCATATTAGGGGTAGGATACTGTCCTCCCATTTCTGATGCCCAAGGTCCAGAAGACATGGATCCCCATGGACCTAAGGGACCAGCTGCAGCTGGATGTGTGGGTGCACCATATGGTCTAGGTAGCTCCGTAAAGGGCATATTTGGTGTAGGATATGGCCCTGTGGGGCCAGGGCCTGGCACAGTTGGGGCTGGATAAGGACCACCAGGTGGGGGGGCATGATGGTCCGAAAGGAAGAAAGGGTGCTTGGGGTCCTGGAGTTGGTTTGGTGGGAGGCACGGAGGGGTGCATTCCCATTGGTGCTGGTCCAAAAGGCACAGTACAGGGTGTTGCACATGGTGGGAGTCCAGATAGCACAGAAGGTGAAGCACTGGGATCATTCCAAGAATTGGAGCCTGGCCAGCCTTGAGGAGGTTGGCCAGGTTTTGTATTGCTCACAGCAGAAGTTTTGGCAGGGGAAGGTTCAGGTAGTGCATCTGCCAACAAAAATTCATCAGACATTTTCCCAGCAAGATCCAAGACTGCAGTAGAATCTAGAAGCAGTGATGGGTCCGAGGGACTGGCCCTGAAAAAGTGGGCACACCCTGACTGACGGCAGCGAGAGCAGCAGCACCGGCAGGGCACGGCTCCTCCTGGCGCCCATAATTTTATTTTTAAGAAATAATTTTGGCTGGGCGAGGTGGCTCAAGCCTATAATCCCAGCACTTTGGGAGGCCGAGGCGGGTGGATCACGAGGTCAAGAGATCGAGACCATCCTGGTCAACATGGTGAAACCCTGTCTCTACTAAAAATTAGAAAAAATTAGCTGGGCACGGTGGCACGTGCCTGTAATCCCAGCTACTCAGGAGGCTGAGGCAGGAGAATTGCCTGAACCCAGGGGGCAGAGGTTGCAGTGAGCCAAGATCACACCATTGCACTGCAGCCTGGGTATCAAGAGCGAAACTCCATCTCAAAAAAAAAAAAAAGAAATAATTTTAAATATAAATTAATTAAACTACTTAATAAAAAGAAATGTAGAATGGGTGCAGTGGCTCACACCTGTAATCCCAGCACTTTGAGAGGCTGAGGAGGGCAGACCACCAGAGGTCAGGAGTTCGAGACTGGCCTGGCCAACATGGTGAAACCCCTACTCTACTAAAAATACAAAAATTAGCTGGGCATGCTTGTAGGTGCCTGTGGGTGCCGGTAATCCCAGCTACTTGAGAGACTGAGGCAGGAGAATCACTTGAACCTAGGAGGTGGATGTTGCAGTGAGCCAAGATCACAACATTGTACTCCAGCCTGACAAGAGCAAAACTTAGTCTCAAAAAAAAAGAAAAATAAATAAAGAATGAATGAAAAAGAAACGTAATCTCAGGACTTTGGGAGGCTACGGTGGGCTAATTACTGGGTCTCAGAGGATTACAGGTGTGATGCTACATACTCATAACCCAGCTACCTGAAAGGCTGAAATGAAAGAATCTTCTGAGTTTGGGAGGTTGAGGCTGCAGTGAGCCATGATCACAACACTGCAAACCAGCTTGGTTGACAGAGTGGGACCTATCTCAAAATTAAAAGAATGAACAAATAAATAAATAAAATTATTTTTAAAAATAATAAAATTATTTAGTGGCTTAAGAAAAAAACAAACAATATGCTTCCTACAAGAGACTCACTTAGGCACTGAGTCCAATAGGCTAAAAACCACAGACTGAGAAAAAAACTATTTTATGAAAATAGTAGCTATGATAGGATACTAGACATAATATACTTTAAGTCAAGTGCTAATGTGAGACAAACACTGATATTATATACTGGTAAAATGAGTTGATTTACCACAAATCTATAACTATTATATCTATCTACCTATCTAGCTATCTACATCAATCCATATAACATCAGGGTTCCAAAATATATAAAGCAAATATTGACAAAAGTAAAGCAAGAAATACATAGCAACGCCATAATTTTAGACATCAAGATACCATTTTCAACAATAAACAGAAAATTCAGATAAAAAATCAATAAGAAGGCCGGGCATGGTGGCTCACGCCTGTAATTTAAGCACTTTGGAGGCCAAGGCAGGTGGATCACCTGAGGATGGGAGTTCAAGACAAGCCTGACCAACATGGTGAAACCTGTCTTTAAAAAAAAAAAAAAAACAGAGGGAAAAAAAAACAGTAAGAAAACAGAAAACCTAGATATTACAGACTATTAATTATTTTGCACATAGAGGAATACCTGAGAGTGGATAATTTATAAAGAAAACAAGTATATTTGGCTCACAATTCAGCAGACTATACCAAAACTGTGTACCAGCATCTGCTTCTGGTGAGAGTGTCAGCAAGCTTACAATCATGGTTGAAAGTGAAGAGTAACTGTACATATCACATAAGAGACAAAGCAAATATGAGGTGAAGAAGACAGGTTCTTCTAATAAAGCAGCTTTCATTTGAATTAATGGAGTGTAAACATTTTGATTACCAAGAAGATAGTGCCAAGCTATTTATGAGGACTTTGCCCCCATGACCCAAACATCTCTCATTAGATCCCACACCCAACATTAAGGATTACATTACAGCATAAGGTTTGGAGAGCACAAACATGAGAACCATATTATAAACTAACAAGCTTTAACTGACATACAAAACATTACACTCAAAAAAGCAAGAGAATACAAAACAGTCTTCTTTGCACTTGGTGCACTGTGTTAGGACACACAGTAAGTCTTATTAAATATGGAAATGCCAGCTGGGTGGTGTAGCTCATACCTCTAATCCCAACACTTAGAGAGACCAAGGTGAAAGAATCACTTGGAGTTAAAAGTTTGAGGCCAGCCTGGGCAACATAGTGAGACACTATCCCTAAAACTAATCAAAGAATAGTCCCAGCTACTTGAGACCAATAGGTCGAGGCTGCAGTGAGCCAAAATCAGGCCAGTACACTCTGGCTGGGTGACAGAGTAAGATCATGTCTCCAAACAAAAACAACAAATATAACAACAACAAATAAATTTAAGAAGACCAAAGTGAGCTGAGATTGTGCATGGCACTCCAGCCTCGGCAACAAGAGCAACACTCCACCTCAAAAAAAAAACAAGGAAAAAAAGAAAATGAGCTAAGAAAGAATACATACAAGATAAGCTATAAACAATATTGGGGTCATATGTGTAGATATAAACATACACATACGTATAATCTGATTGTGACAGACATATGGCTCATTTATCTTTTAATTAAACCCAACATTCACTTAAAGTATACAAACAGAATTGCAAATTGTCTAAAATTCTAATACATAAGTAAAACCACAATCACAATAAACTGATATTAAGAAGCTTACACTAAAAAGACATACTAATATAGAACTTCAAGACAATAATGAAAGAAATGTTTACTCATAAAATCTAGTTGGCAACATTAATTTACCTTAACAAATAATTTGTCTAGTTAAAAGCAATGTTTGACATTAACTGCATTCAGGGATGGCAGGAATTTTAAATTACTAGTATCTATTGTATGGCAATAAAATTTCAAAGAAAATGCAGTATAATCATAAATAGGAGATGCTAGTGAGAACCTTTTACTAGATAAGCATTGAAAAGAAAATAGTGGGGGGGGGCAGGGGACAGATCCAAGATGGTCAAATAGGAACAGCCCTGGAGTGCAGTTCCCAGCTAGATCAAAACAGAGGGTGAGTGATCACCACATTTCCAAATGAGTTATTACTGCCCAGAGACCAGGAGACTCCCAGGCTGAAAAGTGCCATGAGTTTCCAGCATAGCTGTTTCAGCCAGCGCAGCGGATCTCTACACAAAAACTCACACAAATCTGTGTGGCCATCCCATCCCTGGCACCTGGAATGCCTGGGAGACAGAGCTGCCCATCCAACTGAAAAAAAGGGGGCCGAAACAGGGAGATAGGTGATATGGCTCACCAGGTCCACCCCCACAAAGACCAGAAATCTGAAATACTCTGCATTGAGAGTTTCACAGCAAGAGCAGCTGGACCAAGGACAGTCCAGCTCTGTAGGGGGAAGGGCATCCACCATCACTGAGGCAGTCCACCACTACCAAGGAAATCCATCATTATCAAGGCAGTCTGCCATTACTGGGGCAGACCACCATTACCACGGCAGTTCTAACTATTCCCCTATAAACAAAACCAAAAGGAAGTTCACACAGCAGCTGGGCAGAGCCCACAACAGCTAGGCAACACCTCTGCTGGCAGACTGTGACTAGGCTACCTCCTTGCTAGGCTAGGCAGCTCTGAAAAAAGGCAGGAGCACATTAGGAACTTATAAATAAAGCCCCACCTTCACAGGACAGAGCACCTGAGAAAAAAGTGATTATGAGTTCTTCTGCAGCAGACGTAAACTCACCTGCCCTGCAGCTCTGAATGGAACAATGGAGCTCCCAGCTCAGCACTTGAGCTCCTATAAGGGACAGATTGTCACCTCAAGCAGCTCCCTGACCCCTATATATTCAAATAGACACCTCATAAAGGAGAGCTCACGCTGACATCTGGCGTGTATCCTTCTGGGACAAAGATAACAGAAGAAACTGGCAGCAACCCTCACTGTTCTGCAGCTGCTGCAGGTGATCCCCAGGCAAGCAGGTTCTGGAGACGACCTCCAGTAGTCCTACAGCAGAGGGGCCTGTTAGAAGGAAAACTGAAAAACAGAAAGAAATAACTTCACCATCGACAAAAAGAACATCCACTCAAAGACCCCATCTGAAAGTCACCAACTACAGGGACCACAGGCAGACAAATCAACAAAGACAGGAAGAAACCAGTGCAGAAAGGATGAAAACACCCAAAACAAGAACACCTCTCCTCCTTCAAGGGATCACAACTCCTCACCAGCAAGGGAAGAAAGCTGGATGGAAAATGAGTTTAATGAATTGACAGAAATAGGCTTCAGAAGGTGGGTAACAACAAACTTCCCTGAGCTAAAAGAACAAGTTCTAACCCAATGCAAAGAAACTAAGAACCTTGAAAAAAGGTTTGACAAAATGCTAATGAGAACAAACAGCTTAGAGAAGAATATAAATATCTTGATGGAACTGAAAAACACAGTATGAGAACTTTGTGAAGTATACACAAGTTTCATGGCCGAATCGACCAAGCAGAAGAAAATATATCAAAGATTGAAGATCAAATCAATGAAATAAAATAAGAAGGCAAGATCAGAGGAAAAAAGAGTGAAAAGAAATGAACAAAGTCTAAAAAATATGGGATTACATCAAAAGACCTAATCTACGTTTGATAGGTGTACCTGAATGTGACAAACAGAATGAATCCAAGCCGAAAAACACTCTTCAGGATATTATCCAGGAGAACTTCCCCAACCTAGCAAGGCAGGCCAATATTCAAGTCCAGGAAATACAGAGAACACGACAAAGATATTCAAGAACAGTAAACCCAAGGCACACAATCTTCTGATTCACCAGGGTTGAAATGAAGGAAAAAATGCTAAGGGCAACAAGAGAGAAAGGTTGGGTTACCCACAAAGAGAAGCCCATCAGACTCACAGAAGATCTCTTGGCAGAAACCCTCCAAGCCAGAATAGAGTGAGGGCCAATATTCAACATCCTTAAAGAAAAAAATTTTCCACCTAGAATTTCATATACAGCCAAACTTCATAAGCTTCATAAGGGAAGGAAAAATAAGATCCTTTACAAACAAGCAATTGCTGAGAGATTTCGTCACCACTAGGCCTGCCTTACAAGAGTTCCTGAAGGAAGCACTAAACATAGAAAGGAACAACCAGTACCAGCCACTCCAGAAATGTACCAAATGGTAAAGAGCATTGACACAATGAAGAAACTGGGTCAACTAATGGTCAAAAGAACCATCTAGCATAAAATGGCAGGATCAAATTTACACATAACAATATTAACCTTA